AGAGAGAGAGAGAGAGACTTTAATTCGCAATGTTTGATTCAGACTAAAATTTATTCAGAGAAAATTTCTTTATTTAAATATAATTATAAAAAATTAATTTTAAATTAAAAATTAATTTTACCAAGTTCTGAAGGAAGGGATGGATCATTGTTGTATTAGAGCTTCAATTCGATTTGTCGCTTTAAACGTATATTTATTATTGAATCTTTTAGTCGTACGAAAATTATTAGGTGTAAACATTTGTTTTGCAAAGTAAGTAATATTTTGCTGACATAAGTAGATTTAGTTGTTAAGGTTCTATCGATACCGCGAATCGCGTGTCAAGTTTATATAAAAGAACTTTGATGAAACACAGCGCAACGAGATATCAGGTATTATAAAAGCGAGCGTGAAGGTAAACAATCTCGATATATCAACATCAAAAATGATGTGTAATTATGTTACGATCGAAATTGGCTTTATAATCTCCCAAGATGATTCGTGGGTGATTCGCATTCGGAGAAAGAATATCGCATCGTATCGCTATTTTTTTCATCGTTTATCTCGCAGATAAGCGACCGCGCGTCAGGTACTTAAGTAGATTAAACTTAATTCCCAGCAATTCCGGTTCGCGGATCCGCGAAACCTCGATAGATTGCTTTTGACATTTCAGTCGTTCTCGAAAAACCGACAGGCGATACAGTCGATCTAGCAGCGCCAGCGAATCTTCAAACATGAGCAGCGAGATTCACGGTTTGTCCTCGACGACATCCACCCCGTCCTTATCACGGCACAGTAGTAGTGAACGAATTAACAAGTCGGGAATTAAGACGAGCATCGATGCATCGCACGGTATGTCAAACAATTACTGAAAATATCTGTAAGAAGGCCACAATGTGTGTAATTATAAAAATATGATTAAAGAATGTATTATTAATGACATTACAACAATTAGTGAGATATCATTTCTATCGAATTGTTGCAAAATAAATGGTTATGAAAAATTGTTGAAAAAAAAAATTGTGTCACAACAATAGAAAAGAAAAATAAGTTGGAATTTTAAAAAATACGAGAGAGAGAGAGAGAGAGAGAGAGAAGAAGAAGAAAAATAAAAAAACTT